TTCTAGTCCCATATTAGGCAGGAAAGTTAGCTGGGTGATTGGCCAAAAGTCACCCAGCCGGCTTTCATGCCTAATGTAGAACTAGAACTCACTCTCTCCTGGTGACTGGCTCAAAATCACCCAGCTAACTTTCCTGCCTAATATGGGACTAGAACTCCCAATCTCTGAGTGATTGCCCAAAAGTCACCCAGCCGGCTTTCATGTCTAAGGTAGAACTAGAACTCACTCTCCTGGTGACTGGCCCAAAATCACCCAGCTAGCTTTCCTGCCTAATATGGGACTAGAACTCCCATATCTAGTTCTAAGGTAGAACTAGAATTCACTCTCTCCTGGTGACTGGCCCAAAATCACCCAGCTAGCTTTCCTGCCTAATATGGGACTAGAACTCCCAATCTCAGGGTGATTGGCCCAAAGTCACCCAGCCGTCTTTTGTGCCTGTTCCTTCTTTCCGGACAACCAGACCCCTTCCTTGCATTCTACAAGCTGCAATGATCAGGTAGGGCACGGAAGGATGGGAGGCTCTGCTCAGGACCTACCACCCCACGGAAACAGGGTGGGGGTGTCAGGGGTCTTCCCCAGGCCTCTTCCAACCAGAAGGTGTCTCTTTTTCAAGGGCTGGGTCCTGCCCCACAGATGGAGGAGGCCGAGATACAGAAGCAAGCGGAGCATTGCAACGACCGGAAGATGGCTTCCAAGCGGGTGCAGGAACTGAGCGTCGATCTCTTCTTCGCTGTTTTTGTCAAGGTGGGGGGTTCGAGGCCATTCGGGATCCTAGAGGGGAGGGACAGGCACAGGGTGGGGGTGGGTGGGCTCTTAAAATCAGGCGGGTGGTGTTGTGTTTGTAGAGCGCCCCCCCCCCGCCCGTCTGCTGTTTTTTTTCTTTCCTCGATTTGGCAGCCAGTCCTCGACTTATGACCGCAACACAGTCCAACATTTCTGTCGTTGAAGGAGGCATGTGCTCAAATGAGCAGTGCCCCATTTTATGACCTTTCCCAGCCACCGCCGCTAAGCGAATCACTGCGGTTGTTAAGTGAGTCGCACGTTCATGAAGGGAATCTGGCTTTACCCCATTGACTTGGCTTGTCAGAAGGTCGCAAAAGGGCGAATAGGCAGCAATATAAAATCAATAAATAAATAAATAAAAGGGGATCATGTGACCTTACAGATTAACGGGGTTGGAAGGGACCTTGTAGGTCATGTAGTCCAGCTCCCCCCCCCCCCCCCCCCCCCGCAAAGCAGGAGACCCTACATCCGTGATGGTGAACCTATGGCATGTGTTACAGGTGGCACACGGAGTCATTTGTGTGGGCACGCGAATCCCAGGCAAACTTACCTCACTGTGCACGCGCATGCATAGCAGCTGATTTTTGGCCCGTTTGAGGCCTTTTTTGGCCTCCCAGAGACTCGAGGGAAGCCTCTGCAGCCTTCGGAGGCCGAAAACCAGGTCCATTTTGTCACTTCCTGTATTTCCAGAAATACCGGAAGTGAAGAAATGGGCCCATTTTTCAGCCTACAAAGGCTGCAGAGGCTTCCCTCGAGCCTCTGGGAGGCTGAAAAATGCCTCAAACGGGCTGAAATTCAGCTGGGAGGCGCAGTGCATGTAAGGGGGCAGCGGGGGGGGGGGGAAGGGGGGAATCACCCGTGCATGTGCAGGGGGGTTGGGGGTGCCCATGTGCATTGCCTTCTGGCATGCAAGCGCACGTGCAATTTTTGTCACAGCCCAAAAAGATTAGCTACCACTGCCCTACATCTGACAGACGGCAGTCCAATCACTTCTTGAAAGCCATAAGTTCATGCCAGCTGCCAGGCCTCTGAATTTTTGATCATGTGACCATGGGGATGTGGCAGCGGTCATAAGTGTGAATAATGGTCATATAATGGTCACTTTTTCAGTGCTAACTTTGAACCGCCACTAAATGAATGATTGTAAATCGAGGACTATCCAGTGCTGGGATGCAACTAGTTTAACAACCGGGTTCGGTGAGCGCACACTTCTCTTTGCCACGCAAATCAGCTGATCTAAAAAACAGGGGAATATAGGACAGAAAAGATATGGGGAGATGGGTGGAGCCAACTGCTCGGTTGTACCGGTTCACGTCAGTTTGATAGAACCGGTGTGAACCGGTAGAATCTCACCACTAGGATGATCCAAATAGTTTCTCAACTGAGCAACTTTTAAGATGGGTGGATTTCACCTCTGGCTATGCTGTCTGCGAAACGCTGGGAGTCGAAGTCCGCACGAGCTGATTTAGGAATGATGGGAGTCGAAGTCCGCACGTCTTAAAAGTTGCTAAACAGTAAAACACTGATTCTCAAATGGGCCATAGGGGAGATTTTTCTCTTGGGGAAAAAAAAACCCTATGAATTTTTCAATGAAAATATCAATAAAAGGCAGTCCTCCACTTATGACAGTTCATTTGGTGACCGTTCAAAGTTATGATGGCACTTAAAAAAGTGACTTAGAACCCATTTTTCACACGACCATTTCAGCATCCCCATGGTCACGTGATTAAAATTCACATGCTTGGCAACCAACTCATATTTATGTGGTTGCTGTGTCCCGGGGTCACGTGATCCCATTTTGCAACCTCTCTGGTCAGCAAAATTGACGGGGAAACCAGATTCACTTAACAACCATGTTCCCAACTTAACAACTGCAGTGATTCCTTTAACCACGGCGGCAAGAAAAATCATAATATGGGGCACACTCTCTTAACAGACGTTTCACCCCAGTGTTGTGGCCCGCCGGTGGCTGACAGAGCTGGCAGCGGAGTCGGACAGTAGTGAGGAGTTTGGGGAGGAACCAGGGCCGGTTCTGGAGGCTGAGGAAGGCCCGGATGAGGGCTCTGCATCAGAGGCAGAGATGGGGCCAGGGCAGGTTGGCAGTCGTCAGCTGCCTTTAGGATTGGACAGCAGTGAGGCGGGGGAAGCTTAGGGAACCGGTTCCCAGCCTGCGCATACGAAGGACTACCAGAAGACCAGAAAAATTGAGAAAGCAGGGTTGACTCAGGAGTAAGGCCATACCTCGGGGATGATTGGCCCCTCCAATAGGACATCAAAGAGGAGCGAACGGGACGTGAGCTTTTGCAGGAAGCAACTAGTTTGTCTGGTTGATTCAAGCTTTGAAAAGTTACTGTCTGACTCTGTGTCAAGTTTGGCCTTGCCCTGCGTCTGGCAATTCGTTCTCTGACTGCATTCCAAGTGCGATAAGGTGGGTGTTTATCAACCTTCCCCTGAAAGACTGTTTGTGAATCCTGGCTGCCTGTGAAATTGTGAATGAATGTAATTCACAGCCGTGGAAATAAAAAGAGGTTTTGCCAGAACTTAAGATTGTGTTTTATGTTTTCTAAGAAAGCCTAGGTCACAACACTTGGCAATATAACTCGAGGACTCACCATAAAAGCGAGGTGCCTCTAGCGGTGACCTAAAGCCTTTGGAGATCTGTTCCTGCTCCTTTCCTTGACTCTTGGGCTTGGATCCAAGCCAAGCCCACCGATTATTTGTCTTCTTTCCAAGCTTCGCACAAGGGTTTGGCACATTTAGGAAGCTTTGATGGGAACCAGATTCGAATCTCTGGGTGAAAGGAAGGGGCTGCTCTGATTTGCTCATCCCTCTCTCTTGCTGTGCCACCCCCCCCAATATTGTGTCTTGCAGGAGTGTGGACCGCTGGAGTCGGAGGCCATGGTGATGGGCGTCCTGAGCGAGGCCTTTGACGTCCTGGTGCTACGTTTCGGAGTCCAGAAGCGCATTTATTGCAACGTGAGTCTGTGCAGTTCCGGGGGTGGCAGGACGGACCTGAGAATTACTCAGCCAAACCCGTTTACATTTTTTAAAGTCTTTCAATGCTGGAAAGTCCTTGACTTACAACAATTTATTTATTTAATTTATATTTAATTTATTTAATTTATATATTAATTTTTATTTAATTTATATATTAATTTTTATTTAATTTATATATTTTTATTTAATTTATATATTAATTTTTATTTAATTTATATTTAATTTATATATTAATTTATATTTAATTTATATATTAATTTATATTTAATTTATATATTTATATTTAATTTATATTTAACTTATATATTAATTTATATTTAATTTATATTTAATTTATTTAATTTATATTTAATTTATATTTAATTTATATATTAATTTATATTTAATTTATTTAATTTATATTGCCACCTATTCGCCCATAGAGACTTGAGGCGGCTTACAGAATGTAAAATCATATTTAAAATTTAAAAAAAACAATAAAAACTAACAAAAAGAATCAAATTAATAAAGCACAATAGAACAAAATCTGGGGAAAATAAATAAATATAAATGACCCCACCCCAACTCCCACCCACCCCACACCGACGACAACAGATCACCCGAGCCATTTGATGGGCTCCATCCCGCTCTGGGTTCCCCAGGCCCGCTGACAGAACCAGATCTTCAGCGCCTTCTGGAAAAGTATTAGAGTGGCGGCCATTTTAATCTCTGAGGGGAATGAGGTTCCAGAGAGAGGGAGCCACCACGGAGGAGGCGCTTCTTGTGGGTCCCACCAGGTGTATCTCCCTCAGGGATGGGATCCGGAACATTCCCCGCCTCCCCGCTCTGACGGGAGGGTAGATGTGACCGGCAAGAAACGTTCCCTCAGATCACCCAGTCCCAAGCCATGAAGGCGCACTTCAAATTGCAAGGTGACTGTTTTATAAACAGCACTGAAAAAAAAAATGACTTACGGCCGTTATTCACACTTACGGCCGTTGCAGTATCCCCATGGTGATGTGATCGGAATTCAAACGCTTTGGCAACCAGCTCCTATTTATGCCGGGGTCACGCGAAGGTCATCCTTTTGCGACCTTTGGACAAACCAAATCCATGGGAATTCCCTTTACAACGCTGTTACTCGCTTAAGAACCGCAGTGAGGGACAGCCTCCTTTGTCGCCTCCTCGTGGTCATGTGATCCAAATTCAGAGGCCTGGCCACTGCCTCATAGTTATGACGGTTGCAGCATTCCCTTTTGCGATGGGGGGAAGCCAGATTCGCTTCATGACCGTGTGACTAATTTAACAAAAACAGTGATTCACTTAACAACTGTGGTGAGAAAGGTCATAAAAAGGGGCAAATGTATCTCACTCAGCAGCAGAAATTTTTTGGGGGGGAGGTTTCCACCTGGTGGAGAAATCTCTCTCTCTCTCTCTTTTTTGGTTTCTAGAGCATGTACAGAGTGCCTGCTGCTGGAAACGTTTTTTATCAGGGAGGAACCGATAAAGAAGGATGCAAGTTGTGTCCTCCTTTATCGGTTTCTCCCTGATAAAAACATTTCCAGCAGCGGGCACTCTGTACATGCTTTAGAAACCAAAACCCTGTCAGGCTGTCAGTCCAGGTAGTCGTGGCTCACAACGGTTCGTTTAGTGACCGTTCAAAAAGCTGACAGTGACACAGCACTGTCAGGATTCCGGCAGTTTCCCCCAATGTAAATCACAAGTCTTGTTAAGGGAGTATTTTGGCCCCATTTTGCAATCTTTCTTGCCCCAGGGACTAAGTGAATCCCCGCAGTTGTTTAAGTGAGGAACATGGTTGTTAAGTGAATCTGTCTTCCCCGTTGACTTTGCTAGTCAGAAGGTTGCAAAAAGGGGATCACGCAACCCCTCCCCCCGGGGACACTGCAACCATCATAAATATGAGTCAATCGCCAAGCATCCGAATTTTGATCACCTGACCACAGGGATGCTGCAATGGTCATAAGTGTGAATAAGGGCCTTAAGTCACTTTTTTTCCAGTGCCGTTGTAACTTTGAGTGGTCGCTAAATGAACCGTTGTAAGCCGAGGACTGTCTGTACAGAGCAGAATGTTGTTTTCCTGTAAGATTCCTTGCACGCAGAAATCGAGCAGGGCAGGAACGGTCACTAAATTAACCGTTGTAAGTTGAGGACTGCCTGTAATTTAACCATCCTTTATCTAATGTTGGAGGTGTCAGGATTCCGGCAATTAAATCCTGAGTCTTGAGCCAAACCTCCAAAACTTAAAAAGGATTTATTGGGTGTTAACATGTCGGCACTGCCTGGGTGTAGCCGACTCTGAGACACATCATTCATTGTCATCCTTGACCCTGGTTTTCCCCCACCCACTGGGTGTATCATAATTCATATTCTCCAATGGGACACGTCCATAGCCAAGAGTCATCAATCATGCTCTCCAGTTAGATTTAGCACGGCAGAAACTTCGGTCGCCTAGTTACTCTCTTTGAAAACATTTATGGAATGCAGTTTCGGTTTCCAAGCTGCCGCACTGCTCTTTCAAACCCCTTTCTGTTGGCAACTCTAAAAAGACCATAGAAATATTTTATGAATTGACAGAGACTTACGACCATTTTTCACAGTTAGGACTGTTGCAGCCGCCTCGTGATCATGGGATCAAAATTCAGAGGTTTGGCCACTGCCTCATATTTATGACGGTCGCAATGTCCCCCGGGGGGGAGGGAAGGAGGTCACGTGGTCCCCATTTGCGACCTTCTGACAAGCAAAATCAAGGAGGGAGGCCGGATTTGCTTCACAACTGTTAAGAACTGCAGCGGTTCACTTAACAACGGTGGTGAGAAAGGCCGCAAAACATTGCAAAACTCACTTAACTTTCTCGCCTAGCAGTGAAAATGGGGGGGGGCATGTTTTTCAGTGGTGGCCATAAGCCGAGGACTGCCTGCAATTCCCCAAGGATGAGAACATCTATGGCAGGGGTTGCCAACCTTTTGGACCTCAGGGACCACCAAACTCATAATTTTAAATCCCGCGGACCAGAGTCCCTGGGAAAATCCCAAAAAAAGTCTGCAGGAAAATTCCCCAGCCCGTTTTCCTACTGATCGGTCATTCTTCATTTGGGATCACAGGATACCATCTCCAGCTCCGTTCTCAGGGGAAGAGAGAGACTTTTGGCTCCATGCAAGGAAAGCAGCAGAAGCCGCAGAAGTCTTTCTTTCTCTCCCCCAAACTCCGCCAGAAATGAGTCTTTGCCGGTGCAGCCTCTTGGAGCGGGAGGCCTTGCAGTGTCCCAAAGACTCATTTCCGGCGGAGTTTGGGGGAGAGAAAGAAAGACTTTTGCTGCTTTCCTTGCGCGCAGCCAAAAGCAGAAGAAGAAAGAAGCGGAAAGAAGCAGCCGGGTGGCCAAGTGAGGCACGTGGGACGAGTGGGGCAAGTCCCCCCCTCCGCCCTTTCCCCCCTCCCCTCACTACCTAGTGTTGTTCGCAATGCAAGTGACACAAGCCTTGTGTTCCCACGGGCCATGTGGGCGGCGCAGCCTTGTGTACCTGCGCCGCCTGGATTAATTGCTTTGGGGGGGGACATTTCTCTGCGGACCACCAAAATTTTCTTGCAGACCACCAGTGGTCCCCGGCCCACCGGTTGGTGACCACTGATCTACAGGACCCAAGAGAGCCCGTCCTAAAAAGCGGAGGTCAGGCTGAGCTGAGATTACTCCGTGAACAATGAAACAGATATTTAGAAATCTTCAAAAGAAAAAAGGGAAATAAAGAATTTTGGCTTAACGTCCCATCTTGGCTCCTTCCGGTCTCATGTCCAGTGCTGCCGTCGGATCCCCGAGGACCGGCACACGGCCCGCTGCCTGTCACAGTGGACGAAGCTCCGCCAGATGCCGCCGAGTCCCGTCTCTGACAAGCGGAAATGAAATCCGATGTCTCCCTGCTGGATCATTCGGAGGGCAGAATTGCCTGCTTGGCAGGATCTGCTCTGTTTTAATGACTGCGCCGGGAAGGGATAATGAGCTTGGTCTCTGCAAGGGGCAGATGGAGGCACAGCCGGCACCAGCCCGGCGTCCCCAAACAGCGAGGGAGGGAGGGAGGGAGGGATATAGCAGGGGACATAGCAGGCAGGAGCCAGTAGTGGGATTCTACCAGTTTTCCTATCGGTTCAGTGATCGGACACTTCACGCGCACGCAACTTTCCAAACACCGGCTCAGGCTCTGCCACGCCAATCAGCTGCGAGGATAAAGATGTCAACTCATAAAACATTTCCATGGTCTTTTTAGAGTTGCCAACAAAAAGGGAGGGGGAGGGGAGAAGGGGTTTGAAAGAGCAGTGCGGCAGCTTGGAAACTGAAGGTGCATTCCGTAAATAGATAGTAACTAAATGACTGAAGTTTTTGCTGCACAAATATCACAAATCGTCGCAATCGTTAACCAGCCTGGTTGTTCGGCCCATCTGGCTTCCCCATTGACTTCGCTGGTCAGAAGATGGCCAAAGGGGATCCCATGACCCCAGGGATGCTGCAATTGTCATAGGTACGTGCCAGTTGCCGAGCGTCCAAATTTTCATCACATGATTGTATGGGTGCTGCTGGTCGTAAGTGTGAAAAACGGCCGTGCGTTGTTTTCTTCAGTGCTGTTGTAACTTCGGAAACTTTGAATGGACACTAAATGAATGACTGTAAGTCGAGGACAACCTGTAGTCATTTGGGAGACATTGTTGCTTTCAATGGTGAAGCCTCCATGTGCCATGGCTGTCTATCTGTGTGGTTAATCTCAAGAAGATGCTCGCAGGAAGAATTTATTGATTAGCGTTTTATCCTTCCTTTTAGTACTTTAGAAGTAACTCAAGACAGAGAACGAACCTCATACGCCTTCCTCCTACTATTCTCCCCACAACAACAACCCTGTGAGGTGGGTTGGTCTGAAAGAGAATGATTGGCCCAAAGTCACCCAAGTAGCTTTCCTGCCTAAAGCAGGACTAGAACTCACCGTCTCCTGGTGACTGGCCCAAAGTCACCCAGCCAGTTTTCATGCCTAAAACAGGATTAGAATTCACCGTCTCCTGATGATTGGACCAAAGTCACTCAGCCAGCTTTCATGCCAAAGGCAGATCTAGAACTCACAGCCACCTGATAATTCATCCAAAGTCACCCGGCCAGCTTTCATGCATAAGGCAGGACTAGAACTTCCAGCTCTCTGGTAATTGGTTCAAAGTCACTCAGCCTGCTTTCACGCATAAGGCAGGACCAGAACTCACAGCCACCTGGTAATTTGTCCAAAGTCACTCAGCCTTCTTTCAGGCCTAAAGCAGAACTAGAACTCACAGCCACCTGGTAATTTGTGCAAAGTCACCCAGCCGGCTTTCACGCCCAAAGCAGGATTAGAACTTCCACCCCTCTGGTAATTGGTCCAAAGACACTCGGCCTGCTTTCAAGCCTAAAGCGGAACTAGAGCTCACAGCCACCTGGTGATTCATCCAAAGTCACCCAGCCGAGCTTTCATGCCTAGACTAGAACTCACCGTCTAGACTAGAAATCACCATCTCCCAATGATTGGCCAAGCCCTAGACTCACCTGGCTGGCTTATATTGGCAGAACTAGAACTCACCAATACTTGGCGATTGGCTCACCCAGCTTTCATAGCTTCCTTCCTAGAGGCTTCTGGGTGACCTCTCCACTTCCTGGCCGTCATGGGACACCTTTGGCCTCATCAACCTTTGCAACCCGTGCTGGGGGCACGTGCCCTGACGGAGACTGGCACCAGCTGCCTCAAGGGCTTCCAAACAGGCCGTGGAGGTTCCTTATCTCGAACCTCAACCGTGATAAGCCCTTTGATCCCGTGGCCCAGCCTGGCTGGCTTAGTTAGCACCAGGACGAAAACCACATAATTTATTTACTTGTTTATTCCATTTATCGGCCTCCTTTCTTACCTCCTGGGGGGTAACTCTGGGCGGCTTACCATATTAAAAGGAAAAAAAAACAATATAAAGGAAAAGATTACAAAAATACGCAAAACAGAGGATGGGGTTTGGAAAGGCCTTCTGTACGTGGACAGGGGTGTCTCTCGTTCCTCAAAGCTTGGTCCACCTGTGCCTCCTGCCTCTCCCACCCTCTCCCCGTTGACTCCATCTCCCATCCTGCTCCGCCCGTTGACTCCATCTCCCATTGCCTTGCAGGCTCTACCGTTGGTGGGATTCCAGTTTCAAAAAGTAGGGAAAAAGCCACAGTTGTCGCTGACGTGGGAACCGCAGAGCCCGGAGCAGGACGCCGCGCGGCAGGTAACCTTGGCTCCACCCCTCTCCTCACCTTCACCTTACTTCCCACCTGGCTGTCTTGCACTCCGCTTCGTCCTGAGCCAGGCCCGGGAGCCATGCAGTCAGTGGGCCAATGGCAGAGTTTCTCAGAGAATGGCCTTGCCCAGGTGTGACGGCACAAGTTCCCAAGAATTTACCAAGAATTGGATTGTGGTTTTTCCCTGTCTCTGGTTTTGGCTCCTTGTCGAGATCCAACTTTAGCCACTACACCCCGCTGCCCAGCACTTCCTGTACTCATTTGCAAGACATTCTCTCTCGGTCTCTTTCTCTCTCTGTTTCTCTCTCTATGTGTGTGTGTCGCTCTCTTTCTCTCTGTCTCTGTGTGTGTGTGTGTGTGTCTGTGTGTGTTTCTCTCTCTGTGTCTCTCTCTGTGTCTCTGTCTGTCTCTGTCTCTCTGTCTCTGTCTCTCTGTCTATGTGTGTGTGTCTGTGTGTGTTTCTCTCTGTGTGTCGCTCTCTGTGTCTCTGTGTGTGTGTGTCTCTCTTTCTCTCTCTCTCTCTCTATGTGTGTGTCTCTGTGTGTGTCTCTCTCTTTCTCTGTCTCTCTCTGTGTGTGTGTGTGTCTGTGTGTTTCTCTCTCTCTGTGTCTCTCTGTGTGCCTCTCTCTCTTTCTCTCTGTCTCTCTCTCTCTCTATGTGTGTGTGTCTCTGTGTGTTTTTCTCTCTCTCTGTCTCTCTCTGTGTCTCTGTGTGTGTGTGTCTCTGTGTGTTTCTCTCTGTGTGTGTCTGTGTGTTTCTCTCTGTGTGTGTGTCTCTCTTTCTCTGTCTCTCTTTCTCTCTGTGTGTGTGTGTGTCTCTCTCTCTGTGTCGCTCTCTCTCTCTCTATGTGTGTGTGTATCTGTGTGTGTTTTTCTCTCTCTCTTTCTCTCTGTCTCTCTCTGTGTGTGTGTCTGTGTGTGTTTCTTTCTCTGTGTCTCTCTCTGTGTCTGTGTGTCTCTCTCTCTTTCTCTCTGTCTCTCTATGTGTGTGTGTCTGTGTGTGTTTCTCTCTCTGTGTCTCTCTCTGTGTCTCTCTCTCTCTCTGTGTCTGTGTGTTTCTCTCTGTGTGTCTCTCTCTGTGTCTGTGTGTCTCTCTCTCTTTCTCTCTCTCTCTCTCTGTGTGTGTGTCTCTGTGTGTTTCTCTGTCTCTGTGTGTGTGTGTCTGTGTGTGTTTCTCTCTGTGTGTGTGTCTCTCTGTGTATGTGTCTGTGTGTTTCTCTGTGTGTGTGTGTCTCTCTTTCTCTGTCTCTCTTTCTCTGTGTGTGTGTGTGTGTCTCTCTCTGTGTGTCTCTCTCTCTCTCTCTCTCTCTATGTGTGTGTGTCTGTGTGTGTTTCTCTCTCTCTCTGTCTCTCTCTTTCTCTCTGTCTCTCTCTCTGTGTGTCTGTGTGTGTTTTTCTCTCTCTGTCTCTCTCTGTGTCTCTGTGTGTGTCTCTCTCTCTCTGTCTCTCTGTGTGTGTGTGTGTGTGTCTGTGTGTGTTTCTCTCTCTGTTTGTGTCTCTCTCTTTCTCTGTCTCTCTCTCTCTATGTGTGTGTGTGTCTGTGTGTTTCTCTCTCTCTGTGTCTCTCTCTGTGTGTCTCTCTCTTTCTCTCTGTCTCTGTGTGTGTGTGTGTCTGTGTGTGTTTCTCTCTCTGTGTGTCTCTCTGTGTGTCTCTCTCTCTTTCTCTCTGTCTCTCTCTGTGTTTGTGTGTCTGTGTGTTTCTCTCTCTGTGTGTCTCTCTGTGTGTGTCTCTCTCTTTCTCTGTCTCTCTCTCTATGTGTGTGTGTCTCTGTGTGTTTTTCTCTCTCTGTTTCTCTCTGTCTGTGTGTGTGTGTGTTTCTCTCTCTGTGTGTGTCTCTGTGTGTGTCTCTCTCTTTCTCTGTCTCTCTCTCTCTTTCTGTCTCTGTCTCTCTGTCTCTGTCTGTCTTTGTCTCTTTCTCTCTCTCTCTCTCTTTCTCTCTCTCTCTCTCTCTCTCTCTCTCTCTGTGTGTGTCTCTGTCTCTCTTTCTGTGTGTCTATGTCTCTCTCTCCCAGTCTCCTAGTGATTGGCCCAAAGCCACCCAGCCAGCTTTCATGCTTAAAATGGGACCAGAACTCCCAGTCTCCTGGTGATTGGCCCAATGTCACCCAGCCGACTTTCATGCCTCTACAGCAGGAGTAGAACTCATGGTCGCCCGCTTTCTAGCCTGGTGCCTTCACCACTTTCACTTCAGGAGATCTATCTGTCCATACGCTTTCTAGAGAGAGGGTTCAAGAGGGCCTGGACCTCAACTCTCCTGCCTTTCCCCTCCTCTCCTAGGGGTGAGGGTTGTAGGCTAAGGACTCTCCACTTGTTCAGAGCCCCTTCCTCCATACTTCATCCAGTCAGGCGGGATCCCAAGGGAATGACAAAGAACCAGCTTCGCTTCATCCGGGTTTGTTGATTCCCTATTTACAAGTGCCTCAGTGGCGATTCTCCACTGGGTACTGCTCTGTTCTCTGTTGCCCTAAAAGAGGACCTGACCTGGGGGGGCTCACATTGCAACCCTGGTCAAAAGGGCCCAGCAGAGATTATACCACCTGAGGCTTCTCAGGAAACAAACAACTGGATGGAAAACTGCTGGTGACCTTCTACCGCTGCACCATAGAGAGTATCTTAACTTACTGCACCTCTGTATGGTTTGCCAATTGCACAGGGGCAGATAGGACAGCAGTCCAGAGGGTTAACGTCATTGCCCAGAGGATCACTGGTTGCCCTCTCCCCTCTTTGGAAGAGCTTTAGAGCTCCTGCTGCCTCAAGAAAGTCCAAAACATCCTCAAAGATCCATCTCATCCTGGGCACCCTTTTTTTTTTTTTTTTTGAACTATTACCACCTGTCAGTCGGTACAGGACAATAATAAAAACAAGGACAAATAGGCTGAAAAACAGCTTCTATCCCAGGGCAGTAGCTCTCTTGAATTCTACTGTCTAGTGCAATATTAATGGAATATCAGAGGTTTATCAATTCAATTGCATAGAATGCGAAGGATGTGTGTGTGTGTGTGTGTGTTTTATTTTTTTTATCTATAATGTACACTGAAGGTGGCATTTAATTTCGTTGCACGAGGTGCAATGGCCATAAAGTAGAATAGAATAGAATTCTTTATTGGCCAAGTGTGATTGGACACATAAGGAATTTGTCTTGGTGCAAATGCTCTCTGTATACATAAAAGAAAAGATACATTCGTCAAGAGTCGAGAATCATCAGGTACAACACTTAATAATAATCATAGGGTACAAATAAGCAATCAAATCATACTAGGAAACAGTCAATATAAGGAGACAAACGACAAAGTTACAGCCATACAGTCACAAGTGGGAGAGGAGGGGTGATAAGGAGTGATGAGAAGATTAATAGTAATAGTAGTGCAGACTTTGTAAATAGTTGGACAGTGTTGAGGGAATTTTTTGTTTAGCAGAGTGATGGCATTCAGGAAAAAAACTCCCCTTGTGTCTAGTTGTTCTGGTGTGCAGTGCTCTATAGCGTCGTTTTGAGGGAAGGAGTTGAAACAGTTTATGTCCAGGATGTGAGGGGTCTGTAGATATTTTCACAGCCCTCTTTTTGACCCGTGCAGGATACAGGTCCTCCATGGAAGGCAGGTCGGTAGCCATCGTTTTTTTCTGCAGTCCTAATTAAGTAAACTAATTAACTAACTGCCCCGCCAAGCTTTCCTTGGCACCTGAAACACATTAACCCCGAGCGTAAAGTGGCTGTAAAAATGACAAATTACTGATATTGGCCTGGAAAAGGATCAGAAATTATTAACTGAACTTGTAATGTGTTTCTATATATATAAAAAAAAAAATCTATGTGGACTTTGACTGTAATAATGCTGATTTCGAGAAGGACGGTGGGGGACAGAGGGCTGAAGCGATGCGAGGAAAACCAGTAGCCACACAATCGCTTGGAAATGTTTTTGCTTTTATGCCTTGCAATACAGGCAACCGCAAGGAACCACAGCCCAAAATGTACGTCACCAAGCGAGACATTTGTTCCGTGAGCTTTGCCCCATTTGACGACTTTTCTTGCAACGTTGTTAAGCCAATCGCTGCAGCAGTCAAGTTAGTAAACACGGTTGTATCTGGCTTCCTTTTGGACTTAGTAAAGCCACTACCTGGAATATTTGAATCCCGTTTTGGCCGCCACTTTACAAAAAAAAAGATGTTTGAGGCTTTGGAAAAAGTGCCGAGAGGAGCAATGGAGATGATCAAAGGCCTGGAGAATAAAACAGGATTTGGGTTTGGCTAGTCTAAAGAAAAGAAGGCCTGGGGGGGACATAATATGAATATTCCAGTATTATAAATATAAGACGGGGGGGTCAACTTATTTGCCAAAGCACCAGAAGGCAGAACAAGAAACAATGGAGGGAACTTAATCAAAGAGAGAAGCAACCTGGAATTAAGGAGAAACTTCCTAACAGAACAATTAACCAGTGGAACTGCTTGCCACCAGAAATTGTGGGTGCTCCATCCCTGGAGGTATTTAAGAAGAAATTGGACAAGCATTTGTCTGGAATGGTACAGAGCAGCAGTGGCTAAACTTTTTGGGCTCCTGTGCGTGCTTGCTCTCGCATGCTTGCGTGCCAGCACCCAGAAGGCAATGCGTGCGGGGGCCCCACGCCCCCTGCACATGCGCACACAATCCCCCCCCGCCCCCCCCTGGCTGTCGCCCCCTTACCTGCACTGTGCCTCCCAGCTGATTTTCGGCCCGTTTGAGGCCTTTTTCAGCCTCCCAGAGGCTCAAGGGAAGCCTCTGCAGCCTTTGCAGGCCAAAAAATGGGCCCGTTTCATCACTTCTGGTATTTCTGGAAATACAGGAAGTGACAAAAACGGGCCTATTTTTCGGCCTCCAAAGGCTGCAGAGGTTTCCCTCGAGCCTTTGGGAGGCCAAAAAAAAGCCCGAAAATCAACTGGGAGATGCGCGCATGCGCAGTGCAGGTAAGTTTGACTGGGGCTCGCGTGCACGCACAAATGGCTCTGGGCGCCACCTGTGGCACGTGTGCCATAGGTTCGCCATCACGGGTATAGGGTCTCCTGCTTGAGCAAGGGGTTGGACTAGAAGACCTCCAAGGTCTCTTCCACTTCTATTCTGATGGATGGATGGATGGATGGATGGATGGATGGATGGATTTTGCTTGTCAGAAGGTCGCAAAAGGGGATCAGGACACTGCAATCATCATAAATATGTGCCAGTTGCCAAGTGTCCGAATTTTGATCACCTGCCCAGGGAGATGCTGCATCCGTTTTAAAGAATGAAAAATGGTCATAAGTCACTTTTTTTCAGCGCGGTTGTAACTTTGGCTACTAAACGAACTGTTACAAGTCAAGGACTATGATTAGGGGGCTGGAGGCTAAAACATATGAACAACAGTTACAGGAACTGGGCCTGGCTAGTCTAGGGAAGAGATGGAGCAGCCTTCCAATAGTTGAGGGGCTGCCCCAGAGAGGAAGGATTCAAGCTATTTTCTAAAGCACCCGAAGGCCAGACAAGGAATCATGGATGGAAACTGATCCAGGAGAGATTCAACCTGGAAATAAGGAGAAACTTTCTGACAGGGAGAACCATCAACCCCATGGAACAGAAGTTGCCCTCGGAAGTTGTGGGAGCTTCATCCCTGGAGGCTTCCAAGAAGACCCTGGACTGCCATCTGTCAAAAATGGTGTAGGGTCTTCTGTTTGGGGGGGAGGGTTGGACTAGATGACCTCCAAGATCCCTTCCAACTCTGTTAATCTGTACCTGTATCTGACTATACCTGCAGCAATAATAGATGTGGCTTTCGGGGCAAAATTCTGAGATCTGACGAGCATCGCGATCCAGGGATCCGACTTAACTTTTGCTTGGCTTCTCTCTCCCTCTCAAGGTCATCTCAATATTCGCTTTGGTGGACGTGATTCTGCGAGCCGACAACGGGACCACGAAGTACAGCGCGGTGCTGAAGAGGCCCGGCGGTGAAGAATGACCTGGCCTGGCTTCCGGTTACAAATCCTGCCCATTTGCTCCCCCCCCCCAACCCCCAAACCCCCCCCCCACTAATATTGGTAGATATCCCGAACTGACTCCCTGGGAAAAGAACCAAGACTTATTTTAATTTTAATTTTGGCAGATGTTGCTTCTTCGATCCCCGAGGGTTTTGTTTGTTTTTTTTTAACAAGAGGGGAGGGAGGGCCCAAAGCCAAGATGGTGGCTGCAGCCTTGTAAGCCTCAATAGCCCACGTTAAGAAAAAAATGAAAAATGATAGAGCTTGGCTTGCAGACCGTAGCTGCCATCTTGACTTTTTTGACCTCGGTGTGGGCGTCGTTGGTTTTTACTCAAGCTGGTTGGCAGGGTCTCAGCCGTTTCCAGCCATAAATACTTGGAAGTATGAACAAGCAATCTTTCCATCTTCTTAGTTGAATTTGTGTGTGTTTGTGGGTGTGGGTGTTTGAATTTGTGGCCCCCCTGAGCAGAGCCTCTCCCTTGTTGTGTCTGGCCGGCGGGGCGCTCCATCTTGGTGTAAATAATCTCTTGCTCAGCCTTAGAGGCTCACGTTTCCCATCTGTGGCTCCTACATCCGCTGGCTGGAAGATTCTCCGTTGCGGTAGCAAAGGAAGTTTGTGACGTCTGTGATGGAGTTGCGTTGCTCTTTTTTTCCAATTCCACTTCTCCGCCTCTCGCCAAGCTGCAACTTAAATCAGTTGTGTGTGTGGTATGTGTACGTTTTTAACAATCTCTTGGTCCGCCCACATGAGTTTGGAGAGTCTGAGTGCTCTGTAAGAATGACACTGTCTCCTCTTGGCTCTCCCCACCCCCAACCCCGAAATTCTAATAAAGAAAAACTGGAAAACTGGAACACGACAACGAAATAAATTCCTGGAATCCTTTTAAAATCGGCTTCCATTGTGTTTTTTTTTTTACGGCAGCTGGGGTGGGGGGCAAAATAATCTATTGATTACATGTCATAATTTTATTTTAAGTATCTGCCCGGCTGGCAGGCCAAACAAACTTTGAAAGAGAAGCATTGCAAACAGGGATCTATGAGGGAGATTACAGATACTTCTTGACTTACAACAGGTCACTTAGTGACTGTTTGAAGTTATGATGGATCTGCCCAGGGCCACTTAGAACCAAGGGTGGGATGCTGCCAGTATAACAACCGGTTCAGTGATCGCGTGCTTTGCTTGCGTGCGTGTGAACAGCAATGCAAAAATCCTTACCTGCTATGTTACTTCGGGGGAGTAACACTGCTGCGGAGCGGCAATCCATTCTTCTGCACCAATCAGATGGGACGATAAAGGTCAGTACAGTGCACAGGCAGGCGGGCGAGCCCACATGATCATCGGAGTGAATCGGTTCACTCCCAGCTGATCTTCAAAGCCTAGAGGTTCACCTGAACTGGTCCGAACTGGCAGAGTCCCACCCCTGTGTCAGGATTCCAGCAATTACTCTAATTAAATCACGATTCTCGAGCCAAACTTCAAAAATCTTCAAAGGATTTATGAGAGGCGACATACTGGCACTGCCCTGTTTGAAGCCAACTCTGGCATACATCATTCACAGTCCCCTGTGACTCTGTTTCCCCCCTGGGTGAGTCATAAATCAGATTCTCCAACTGAGCACGTTCACAGGCTGGGGGTCATCAATCACATTCTCCAATTAAATATATTCGTGGGCAAAAGCTCTGGTAGTTTAGTCACAATCTTTAAAGATAAAGAGTTGGAATGTACTTCCGCTTCCAAACTGCTGCCCTGCTCTTCCAGATTTCCTTCCCCCCCCTTTTTTATGCCAACTACTAAAACAGGCATAGAAATGTTTTATGAGTTGACATTCGGCTCCTCTCACTTCTTGAAGGTGACCTATATAAAGCGACCTATATAAATTGAGTGCAGGTATAGAATTTAGGGTTGTGAAACCCCCGCAGGCTTGGTTGGATTTTCTGCATGGAATCTTGCTATAAGGCGATCGGACTGGACGTTCCTACTCTTTACCCAGTGTGTATGATTGACACAGTGATTTAGAGCTTTCCCTGACTTGGTTAGCCCATCTGATGTAAAAATAAGCTATTCGTTCTCCCCCCAAAATCTTCCTCCGCTATCGGTTCCCTTTTTTTTAATGGCAACTACTAAAACAGGCATAGGAATGTTTTATGAGTTGACACCCTGCTTACAACCCAGATTCAAAATTCTGATGGCCACCCCACTTCTACCACCACACGATCGGATTTTAGACAGACAGCCATTTGCAGCATTCCTGCAGTCACGTGATCGCAATATACAATGTTTTTGACCAGAAATTGACATTTACTTCTGCTTTCTGGCCCAAAACCCCCCCACCAAAACCACCCATTGCATATAATGGATTCACTTAGTGACCATGGCTTTCGTTGAACAAAGCCCGCCATCATTTCAGGACCACTGTGTTTGCTTAACACCCGCCACAAATGTCAAAATCGGATGCGATCTTGTGGGGAACCACTTAATTACCGGCATGACTTACAGGCGTAACTCCAGGCTCAATTTACGGTTGTAAATTGAGGCATGCCAGAATGGCCGTATGAAGCAACCCCATGACGATTTGTTTAGTGACCATTCAAAGCTTCAATGGCACCGTAAATATATAAGTTAGGACTGTTATTCACACTTACGACTGTTGCAGCATCCCCCTGGTCACACGATCTAAAAATTCAGACGTTTGGCAACTGACTCGTATTTATTTATTTATTTATTTTATTTTAAACAAACATAGACAAACAAAACATAAAACCATCTTCGGGTTACATACAGTGTGTCGGTTGGTTACAAGTCTTTTGTGCTTCATCTCCATAGTCCTCACTTATACTTTGTATAAATGCTCATATTATCCATCTAGTATATGTATATATATATATATATTATTATCATTGCTAATCATTTATTTAACCATAACTATTATTCCATCATTTTATGCGAGACATTCAACATTTTGGATTAATTACATTATAACATTCAATACCCCATCATAAATCCATCCAATAATAATACATCCTTATGTTATATCCTCTATAATTCTATTATCCTTGTATTATAAAGTTATCTAAGATATATCATTTCCATATTTTTTTATCTAACGATTGATAAAATAAATCCCATACCTTGCAAGATTGTTTATCTTGTTCTCTAATTTCAAATGTCAATTTACTCATTTCAGAACAGTCCATAATTTTCTTCATGACTTCCTCCTGCGTTGGTATTTTCTCATTTTATTTATGACGGTTGCACAGTGTCCCAGGGCTCATTTGATCCCCTTTTGCGACCTCCTGATGTTCAAAGTCAATGGGGAAGTCGGATTCGCTTAACAACCTTGTTACTGACTGAACAACTGCAGTGACTCACTTAACAACTGTGGCAAGAAAGCTCATAAGGTGGGGCAAAACTCCCTTAGCAATTGCCTTGCTTAGCAACAGAAATTTTGGGCTCCCTTGTCGTAAATCGAGGACTACCTGTATACCATCATGACGAAGTGGAGTAGCAGCTTAATTGGCCTGGCACATGTTGGAAAATTCTGTGGTTCAAAGCCACAAAATTCGTAAGTAACAAGCAGTGGTGGGATTCAGCCAGTTCGCACTGGTTTAAAGGAACCGGTTGTTAACTTTCTGAGCCGTTTGGTGAACCAGTTGTTGGAAGAAATCATTAGGACAGAGAACCGGTTTTTAAATTATTTGAATCGCACCACTGGTAACAAGAGAAATTTCTTTTTTTAAAAAAACCCTTTATTATCTTTTAAAACTTTAAAAAAAACAAAACAGTACAAATATCTTGACTTCAACAGTGTGTGGCATTCATCTTATACTACTATTTTTGTGGATTATTTACAAATATATACAATTTATGCAAATGTAAACATTAGTTTATATGTTGCTTATCATTAATTTATCTATCTTTGCTCAATCCAGTCATACCATTTTCCCCAAGTCTTATAATACTCAGTCTCCTCTTTCTCTTGTAACATCAGTGTTAATTTATCCATCTCTGCACAAGTCATTATTTTTTGAATAGTCAATTCATCTGGTGGTACACATGTATGTTTCCAACATTAGGCATAAGCAGTTCTGGCTGCAGTTAGAATATGTAGTACTATATATTTTATACTTCTCCCATGTTTCTTTTTGAATATCCCCAATCAAAATAATCCCAGTTCTAGTTCTATTGGTTCATTGATAATCTCTTGCAACCATTGTTTCATTTTTAAATGTAACAAAGGAAATTTCAATGGCAAGGGTGGGCAATCATGGCCCCCTTTATAACCTGTGGACTTCAATTCCCAGAATTCCTGAGCAAGCATGACACCTCAGAGTCAGCCTGGCTGACCGAGGAATTCTGGGAGTTGAAGTCCACAGGTGGTAAAAGGGGCTATACCTCTGCTTTATGAGGTATTTGTAGGAACGGAACCTTCTAAAAAGATTGGACTGGTGTGGGTGGCAGGAGGGGTAGGTAGGTAGGTACAGGTGCCAAGTTGGCTCGAAAGTACATCAGGTGAGCCTCACCTGGAAATTAGCCCATATCTCATTCCAGAGGACAATCGATCGATGGATTATATCATGCTGGCTCAGGAATTCTGGGAGTTGAAGTCCACAGGTCACCAAGAGACCATAGTGGCTCCAGAGCAACCTTTCTCAACTTTAGCCATTTTAAGATGGGTGGACATCGATTCCCACAGCTGGCATGCAAATTACCAATGAGCGATTACAAATTGCAAACTGGTTCCCCCCCCCCCCCACCCCCAATTCTTCCGACATGCCCAAATTCAGACACGATGCCTTCCAGGCTTTCCTTGTGGAATTGTAATGCTCAGCTACAGACGGGGAAGATGGGACATGTTGTCCGGTACATTTGGGGGCATTCACTAAGAGCTGTCTTTTTCAAACTTGACAACTTTAAAACCTGTGGACTTCGCCTCTCAGAATTCCCTTTTAAGATGTGTGGACTTCAGTTCCCAGAAATCTTTATCAGATGTGTGGACTTCAAATCCCAGAATTCCCTTTAAGATGTGCAGACTTTAATGCCCAGAATTCTTTATCAGATCTGTAGACTTCTGGGAGCTGAGCTTTAAGACTTGTGCTTAAAGTTGCCAAGGCTGGAGACCCTGCTCTAGATTGGAAGATTGGTCCAGGATGCTGACATTTTCTTCTATTCTATTCTATTCTATTCTATTCTATTCTATTCTATTCTATTCTATTCTATTCTATTCTATTCTATTCTATTCTATTCTATTCTATTCTATTCTATTCATTTTCTTCTATTCTACTCTATTCTATTCATTTTCTTCTATTCTATTCCATTTTCTTCCACTCTATTCATTTTCTATTCTATTCTATTATTCCATTCTATTCTAAATTCAATTCAATTCTATTCTGTTCTATTCTAATTTCTATTCTATTCTATTCTATTCCTATTGTACCTTGCCGAATGTATCTTTTCTTTTATGTACCCTGAGAGCATTTGCACTAAGACAAATTCCTTGTGTGTCCAATCACACTTGGCCAATAAAAGAATTGAATT